AGCAAAAAACCATGACGAGCAGCACCTGGAAGTGGATTAGTGAAGAGGTCAGCCAACTGAGTAGAAGAAGAAGTGTGGACCAAATGAATCAAACCCTCAGCCAGCTTGGTCCGAACCAGATGACAATCCAACTCTATATGTTTGGTTCTTTCATTGAAAACTGGGTTGCGAGCAATGTGTATCGCAGCTTGACTGTCACAAAATAAAGGAATGGAGGAATAACAAGGAAAGCCTAAGTCAGTAAGCAATCTAGACAACCAGGTCAACTCAGCCACTCCTTTACTCATGGCTCGATACTTAGCTTCAGCAGAGGACATGCTAACAATGGGCTGCTTCTTGGACTTCAAAACCACAAGGCTACCACCTAATAAGACACAATAACCAGAGACAGAACGCCTAGTGTCAGGGCAGGCAGCCCAGTCACTGTCACAAAAGGCAGAAATAGACAGGTCTGGAGAGGCATTGAAGAAGATCCCATGTTCAGAAGTACCCTTCAAGTACCTTAATAGAAGCAAGCCAGCAGACATGTGGGGAAGGCAGGGAGACTGCATAAATTGACTGAGATGTTGGACTGCATAGCTGATGTCAGGCCTCGTGTGAGTTAAAAAATTCAGCTTACCAATCAAAGATCTGTACAGTTCAGTCTTGAGCAAAGGATCACCTTCATTGGCTTTAAGCTTCACATTCATATCAAGAGGACACAAAACAGAGGAAACATCTGAACAATGAAACTCAGACAACATATCAGCAATGAACTTTTTTTGATGTAGAAGGACCCCAGTAGAAGAATATAGAACCTCAATCCCCAAGAAATAGCTAAGAGACCCCAGATCCTTGATCCAAAATTGTTGATGAAGGAAGGATTTTAAAGCTGAAATCTCAGTAGAATCAGTCCCAGTCAAAATTATGTCATCCACATACACAGCTAAAACAACAAAAGAATCACCAGAGCCCCTTGTGAAGAGGGAGTAATCATTCGGAGAAGATGTATAGCCTCTAGAAGATAGGGATTGAGATAATTTGGCATACCACTGTCTGGATGCCTGTCTTAAACCATAAAGAGACTTCTGAAGCTTGCAAACCAGCTGCCCAGAATTAGAAGTGAGAGGAACAGAATAACCAGGAGGCAACTTCATATAAACCTCCTCATCAAGGTCCCCATGCAGAAAAGCATTGTTGACATCAAGCTGAAACAAAGGCCAATGTTTCTTGATGGCAACAACAACCAGAGTCTTGACAGTGGACATTTTCGCAACTGGGGAAAATGTCTCATGAAAGTCAATCCCTTCTACCTGTGTGTCACCCCTAACCACTAACCGAGCCTTATACCTTTCAATAGCTCCATCAGCTCTATATTTGACCTTAGACCCATTTGCACCCTATAGGCTTCTTCCCCAAAGGCAAATCAACAACTACCCAAGTCCTGTTAGCTTCAAGAGCCTCAAATTCATTCTTCATTGCCCCTTGCCATTCAGGAATGGAGGCAGCTTGAGAGAAAGTATAGGGTTCAAACACAGGAGGCACACTAGTAGAAACAATATTGGAAAGAGAAGTGGAGCATGAAGAAGGAAGTGTGCAAACATAATCCTTCAAATACCCCGAAGGATTGTGAGGTCTAGAAGACTGCCTCACAGAAACCTCAGGAACAAGAGAAGGAGGAGGGACAACAGGTATAACAGGAGAAGAAGAAGAGGCAATGGGTAAATCAGAAGAAGAAAGAGGAGAAACAGAAGGTGATGAAGGAACAGGAGAAACAGAATGGGATGAAGAAACAGGAAAAAACAGGAGAAAAAGATGAAGTAGGGGGAGCAACAAGATCATCAGGAACATGAGGGGGGGGGGGGGGAGAATGCAGATACATGTGGAGAAGGAGAAGAAGAAGAAGAAAAAGGAGGAAGGGCAAAGGGAAAGACATACTCATGGAAGACAACATCTCTAGAGACAAAATAAGATTTAGAAGTGAGATTATATAATTTGTAGCCTTTCTTAGCAAAGGGATAACCTAAGAAAACACAGGGAACAGACCTTGGCTCAAATTTTTCTCTAAGAAATTTAGGAACAGTGGCATAACACAAGCAACCAAAAGTTCTAAGGTGAGCATATGAGGGAGCCTTACCATACAGTATCTCAAAAGGACTCTTGTTATGTAACAAGGAAGAAGGAAATCTATTTATTAGGTAGGTAGCAGTAAGAATGCAATCACCCCAAAAGGAAATAGGTAAAGAAGATTGAAAAAGCAATGCCCTTGCAGTTTCAAGGAGATGCCTATGTTTCCTTTCCACAACACCATTTTGTTGAGGTGTGTGGGGGCAGGAAGTTTGATGAATAATACCTTTGTCTGAAAGAATTTGGAACCAGTAGAACTAGAGCCCAGCTCTAGGGCATTGTCACTCATCACACCTACATATCTTACTTTCTGGGTTGTTAAACCCCCCGATATGACCGTAGCGATGATATATGAAGCTTAAAGTACAAAAGCCATTTGCCAGGTCTGGGTTATGGACGGCCCTGACTATTTTCAAGGAGTCTAAAAACTTGTGTACAGCTACAACTCTGGGAGCAACCAAGTATTTGTGCCTCAACGGAACCTCATCCTTTCCAATGTAGCCAGCTATTCCTCCAATGTCGGGGGTAAGCTCAAACAAACTAACCGAAAAGT